TTGTTAAGGAAAAGAAATGTGCTTGTAAAGAATGAAAAATATGAATGGTATTAAAACTTCTAATAAATATAAAAAAGCTATGAGTCTTGTTAAAGGGTATTGAACATAGAAAAAGCTATAATTTTATATGATATTTCTTAATGACTTGGTACTATGGAAAGCAAATGATATGCACAGAATATATTTAAGGTACAAGAAAAAAATTAGTAATTTTGAGAAAGTTAAATGAATTAGAGGTGAAGATAATCGGGTTTTGATTAAATAATATATTAATGAAAGATGAAATGCTACTCTTAGGAATTATTTAATGAGAGTTTAATTAATAAATTATTTTGGAAGAGCATGATGAACAAACATAATTATATATATTATATATTGATTTTAAAGGTGAACTGGAGTTAACTCAAAGAAAATGCATAAAAGTAAGGTATTAGGTAGATATCTTTAAGAATTTGAGAATTAAGGGCATTGCTATTGTGGCTTGCGTTGTTTTGATAAATAATTTATTTTTGAGGAGCGTGATGAAAATATAATGATGCATATTATAGATTGATTCAAAAAGTGAATTGGAGTTAATCTAAAGAGAATTCATGAAAGGCTATAGGTATAGATAATGATTAAGATTTTGAGTACTAAGGGGAATGTTATTATGACTTGCTTTGGTAAAAAAATAAATAAATAAAAAAAATTATGACTTGCTTTGGTTAGTAAAATTTTTGAGGGAATTTTGAATAAAAAATGACGCCAAGTGATTGTAGAAGAAATATTTTGTTGTCAATCTTTAAAAACAAATGATATGTTAAAAATTTTGATAAGTATAAAATAATCAAATTCAGCTTTTTTATGAGGCTATGTGAGAGGGCAATAAGATTTAGAGAGCAAGGAATGAGATATCTCAAATCCTTATTTTTTTTTAATTTTTTCCTGGATTTAATTTCAAAAAATTATAAAATTTCTATTCGTAATAGTTGAAACATACTAGGTGAAAACCATAATAATATTGAGCACTACAATGCCCAAGCTGAGGTAAACACATCCAAATCCTGCGCACCATAATGTTGCAAAAATTACAACTACCAAGCATGCAAGCTTTTGGAGCCACACCCCCATAACAATACTCAAATACTTGTAGTTGGAGTTGTCTCACAACATAAATAAAAATACCATAAATGGATAAATCCATATTCCATCTCTTGAGAGAAATTAGATAATTCCAATTTCCACTTCACGATGGAGTGGATATAGCCAAATACCATTGCCCAAGGTAGCAATTCAACATAAATTAGCCGACTTGGAAAAATTAACTTCTAATGAGTTAATCTTTTGATATTCATAAAGAACTTTCAACATAAATTCTATTTCTTGCGAAGTAATATGTTGTTATGTACTAGCCATCATTAGAATCTACCATTATTAGTGGACATAATCTCATCATCATTATAGCTTTAAGAATAAGCTGTATAAAATTATTTTGGCAGAAGATTGGATGTGGATTCTTAAGTAGATGAGAGTAGAGAAGCCAAAAAAGCAATTTACATTTGTTCATAAAACAAGGTCAAATCAAACACATTAAAAAATAGATATATACCATAATTCTTTTGAGTTTTCAATTTGTTTCAAAATTTTATATAGTCTTGCCTTTGTTGCTCTGTTTAAAATTGCACAATTAGAGGCGCGCCTTTGCGCAATTTGACCAAAAAACGCCTCGAGGCTTACGCAATTCTTCACGTGGTTGAGGCGTACGCCTCGCCTGGACTGAGGCGCGCCTCAGAGGCGCAATTGCGCAATGACTTCATTGTTATTGTTAGGTTTAAGTTTCTTGTACCTTCTACTCTCTTAAATAGAAAGTTTGTATATGTAATAATGATTAGTTCACTATTTTTGTATATCCTCATGCTATCCATACAAATTATTGAAATGATATGAGGTTAGTAGTTTATGTTTTAAATCAAACCATAATAACTTGGTAACAAGACTATTTTAAAATATTTGTGCATGCCCTACTAGTTTTGATTTAACACATTCAATTTTATTGGGAATAAGTAGGGCTGCAAATGATCCGAGCGTTCGACGACCTACTCGTGGCTCGGCTTGATAAGAGCTCTTTTTTGTTCGTTTGATAAGGTAAATGAACAAATGAACAAGATCGTTTAGAGCTCGTGAATAAGCTCGTTAAGAAGCTTGATTAAAAAGCTCGATTATGCTTTATTTAATTAAAAATTTATATTATATATTATTTAACTAATTAAGTCTAACGTTATGTAATGTTATGTCTTAATTAATTTTAACTAAATTATATATATTTATATTTATTTATATATAAATTACTCCCGCCGCCCTCTCTTAATAATTATAAAATAATTTTAGCTAATATATATAGTACTCCCACCTCTCTCTCTCTCTCTCTCTTCTCTCTCATCACTTTTGCATTTTTATTCTCTTGTGTTCGCTTGCCTCTCTCTCTCTTCTCTATGGCCACGGAAAAAAAAACACAGTTGTTTAGTCCCACACCGTGAAATCTGAGAAGGTTTTGCACTATATAGTGAGCTATGTTGGCAAAGGGGTAGATGCGAGGTGGGCTTGGGCGGGCTTCGGGTTGGGTTGTGGGTTGGTTCGGCTTGTTAAAACGAGTCATTCGTTTAAAAGCTTGAAGAGCTTATAATTAAACGAGCTCGAATTTGTTCGTGAACCGAATACAAACAATGTTTTTTTAAACGAGCTCGAACTCGAACAATCATTGAAGAAGCTCGACAAGCTTCGAATCGAGCTTGAACACATTTTGGACAAATGAGCTCGAACTCAAACATGCCAAAGCTCGGCTCGGCCGGTTCATTTGCAGCCCTAGGAATAAGACATTATAGTTTTAAAAAATAAATATTCCAATTTATGGATCCACCTTGAAAAATTTTAAGATCAAACATCCTATAGAATGTTGAAATCTAGCTTTGAACTTTGTGATAGTTACATTGTGTTTGTCTGAAGCCAAATCTTATCCTTATTATTTTTTATTGTTACACATAACATTCTCATATTTTGTGCATGTGGTAATGGAACCATAAGCTCTGTTATCAATTTGATGTAGAATTGAAGTTTTCTATTGCAATGAATATGATGCGCAATGTGTTCATGCCAGATTAGAGGATTTACAAAGTAGTTACAAATTAATTCCTCAATTTATTTATTTTTAAATGTAAACAATTAATACTAGAATTATATCTGTATGGCACTAAATGATTGAAATAATTTGATGAAATCTGCAATAATTTAGAACCACTTAAAATCAAGAAGCAATTATAGTTTAATCTTCATAAATAGCATTTCAATAGGGCCAAATTTGAACAAAAATCATAAGCACTAACAAGCCTATGTCAATTTATGTGAAGATGAAATAAGAACACCTAAGGTATTTAAAGAAGTAAAATATGCCTCGGGTAGTTTAAATATATGATTTCCTTTAAAATTGTACCGAACTTGAAGGACTTTATCATCTAACATGATCGAACAAGATGTAATAGTGGAAAGAAAAATTTTGTTTAATCAAAGTTATTTAATTGCATGCCTTAATATGTATCCATGCACTAGTTGATGTAGTTAGTATCGTATCAACTCAAGTCAAGTTTAATCAAATCCCAAAAGGTAAAAAGCCTACTTCAACTTCAATTTAAAACTATAGAATTCCCGTCTATAATAGCTGAAAGCCTGCAACATCTGTCGCTACAGTAACCAATCTGAGAGAACAGTCCTTGGAACCTGCACACCTAAGGGTTACAAAATTGTATCTACCAAATACATAATATAAGAAATTGCAGCCCTCTGTCACGTAATCAAACAAGAATGAGTGAGAGTTGAAGCTGCCCTACAAAAGAAACTAAATTGTTAAGTGGATATGAGGCCAAAGTACACCTTAGAGATAGTGAATAATTTCAAGTTCCACACCCTATGGACTTGATAAAGCCAACTACCACTGCCTAAAATAATACTTCGGTATCAGATAATTAGATCTATGGTAACATGTTTAGTTTTAAAATTGATTTATGAAGAGTATGAAGGATAACACTAATAACACTAATTAATAATTATTTTACTAATAATTAATTAATAATCACTTAATCAATCCATATTTTGCCAAGCAAAGCTATTAGTATTCAATCTATGACTAATTAATCTAACATCATCCTAATCACTAAATAATAGCTAATTAGCTAATACATTCCTAATTAGCTTAACTAAGTTGAGTGTTTAAATTTCCAAGTTTGTAGTTAATCCCTTATTAGCTAGCTTAGAGGCTTTAATGTCCTAGTAAATTTTAATATGCTCCTTGCAATTGGTGAAATGCAAAGCAGCTCATGGGGAAAAAACAAAGAGGCAAAGTGAGCAAACACTTCCTATGATGGTTATTGATATTTTCAATAGCAACATCCAATTACAGAGCAAAAGCTGGGATTGAACAATAACTTTGTGTATTGGATTCACTATTAATAAATTAATCTTCATTATTTAATTTTTATTTTTGACTAAATCATTATTTCGAAGTTGATCGGGCCCATTTCTTTCTACAAAATGTAATAGTTAAAATTAGAAAAAGCACCAATTACCTGAAAGCTAGTTCTGTTGCTTTGAAAAGAAATTTCTTGCAGAATTTATTGCTAGCCTAATAGTGCTTTAGGTTTTTGCATATGCATGGCAAGATGATGAGCTGCGTGTTTTCAAATCAGAACTATTGCTTATTTTGTTAATGTGCATTTTACATTGCTTCGTTCAGTAAACTTGCTTTTAAATTTGTTTATTTTTGTGCTAAGATGCTTCAGCACTGAATGCAAAATTTAAAAATGTTAATCTCTTAAAATTAATTATTTTAATATTACATTGCAGGTAAACACTACTGCCACATTTCTGATTTGGAGGAGAATATGGTAAACCTTTGAATTAAAAAGGTCCCAGAAGATTATTTTTTACTCACTGGGGGTACTACGCTCCAATTTTCTTTGGTTCTCCATCAGTACAACATGAGTGCATCCCACAAGCCATTCTGGGAATGGATGTCATCTGCCAAGCGAAGTCTGGAATGGGGAAAACTGCTGTTTTTGTTCTGTCAACGCTTCAGCAAATTGAGCCAATTGCTGGTCAAGTTGCAGCACTTGTCTTGTGTCACACTAGAGAACTGGCGTACCAGGTTTGTGTCAATCCACTATTTTGATGGCAATTTGTATTTTCCATAGGTGAATTAGCTTTTTTTCTGCTTTGGCAATGTTCGCATTGTTGGACAAGTGTACTCTTTCATTTGTGATTAATAGCAGAATTGCAATTTTGCAGATATGTCATGAGTTCGAGAGATTTAGCACTTATTTGCCTGATATCAAAGTTGCAGTATTCTATGGAGGCGTTCACATAGTAAAGCACAAGGATATTCTTAAAAATGAATGTCCTCATGTAGTTGTTGGCACACCAGGAAGAATTCTAGCACTAGCTAGAGACAAAGACCTCTCTTTGAAGAATGTGAGACATTTCATTCTTGATGAATGTGACAAGATGCTAGAGTCCCTTGGTAATTGTCTCCACAATAGCAGTTCTGCTGGATATTCTCTATAGGCCATGTTGATTCCCATATGAACTTTTTGTTTGTTTAATTTCTGATATCTCATTTTATGATTTTGTATGTTCTGTAGACATGCGAAGAGATGTGCAGGAGATCTTCAAAATGACTCCACATGATAAGCAAGTTATGATGTTTTCCGCCACACTCAGCAAGGAAATACGCCCTGTTTGCAAGAAATTCATGCAAGATGTAATGCTCAATGGAAAGCTTTAAAGCTTAATTTTCTTTGATTGAAACTTTTTTCATTGTTCTAGGTTACAGCTTCTTTGAGATTTAATAGTAGCCTCAGGTGAGATAGGGTATGGGTGGCTGAGCTTGTTTAAAGCTAGTTGTAGGTATGTTTAGAATTCGAAGTTCTAGGTGTTTCCTGAGTTTAGAATTTGGATCTGTTCTAACTTCACATCTGTGTCAGTATTGCCTTCATCCAAGGTGGATAGCAAACTGTCGATTTTACTTTGAATTTTTTGGTAGCTATAAAATCAGACAATTTTATAGCATCGCTATGAAGCATTGCTGAAAGGAAATTATGCTTTTGGCCTAGTGTTTCTGTGGGTTGTAGCTGTCAAGGACTCAGATCTTCAAAATATCTCCTGTGTTTGTGTTAGTTTTAGGCATTGCTCTAACTCTTATTTGACATGCTTAGAATTATATTAGAGATGTTTCAAGTCTAAATCAATCAAACACGGTCCAATGTAAGGGGATAAGCAGTAACATTTAGGACTTTTTTTTTCCAAATTCTCAGTTAAAAATTTGGTCCATTACTTTGCACTAAAACTACCAACACTCATCACATGCTATTTTTTTTTTCACTTTTTCAATCATTAGCAGCATCTTCACATGAATGTACACGAGTTGATCCTCTTATTGATCATTTTTGTGTCGCAATTTATTTTGGTCGAATGTCTTATTTGTGGCATAAGCTTCTCTTTGTTGTTCCTCTTCTCACGAATTTCTTGAAGCCCACTTTTTCTATTCTTCGCATCAACTTTGCACCCATCTGATGTATTCACAACATCTTAAGCTTTTTTGTCATTTTTTGCACAGCTTCTTAGCATTGCAACATTTGTACCCTTTGACGCCTATCCTACATCCACTGCTAATGTTTCCTCTTCCATTTCTTCCAAACACATATCATTGCTAATGCTCTTGGCTCGCTTTACTCCAACCATGGTTTTCATTTTTTATTTTTGTTTATTCTTTGTTATTCTCTTATCAAATTAGAAATTACTACGTAGCATATTTTCCAATAGTGAATGATGCACTATAACGCATAGATCCCATTGAGCTATAGTGCATAACTTAGGGCATAGCAACAACAACAACAACATCAAGCCTTTATCCCACTACGTGGGGTCAGCTACATGAATCCTTTTTCTCCATTGTGTCCTATCAAAAGTCAAATTCTCATTTAAGTCTAATAGAGAAAGATCATTTCTAATATTTTCTAACCAAGTCTTTTTATGTTTGCCTCTACCTTTCTTAACATAAGTCAAATCTAATACGTCTACTTTCCTAATCGGGTCATCGGAAGGCCGCCATTTTATATGACTCAACCATCTAAGGCGGCTCTCTCTAATCTTATCTTCTACTGAAGCTACTCCAACCTTTTCACGAATATGTTCATTTCACATCCTATCTCTAAGGGTAAAGCCACTCATTCACCTGAGCATCCTCATCTCTGCCACACTTAACTTAGTATTATGCTTCTCTTTTAATGGCCAACATTCGGCACCATAAAGCATTGCAGGCCTCACCACCATCTTATAGAATTTTCCTTTAAGTTCGAGGAGTACTTTTTTATCACACAACAAGCCCGATGCATTCCTCCACTTCAACCATCCAATTTGATTTCTACTGATAATATTCCCATCTGTTTCACCATCACTCTAAATAATAGATCCAAGATATCTAAAACGTGTGAACATATATGAAAGACAACTAGATTGAAAATTAAATAATGGACTATGATACAACTAAATATGCATGAACATATATGAAGGACAACTAGATTGAAAATTAAATTACAATAGTAAAAAAAAAACATTTAAATTTTTAAATAAAACTTCACTCTTTTAATGTTTAAAATTTATTCTTTTCTCTAATTGCTCAACCACTCAAACTTAAAAAAAAAATAGTTTTTTTTACAAGTCCTCATCTCTAGAAAAAAAAAATCATCTTAAGGACCATTATCATAAGACAAAATATCACATCTCCATCATGATCATCATTATCTTTTATCTCCCAAATCATTTTTTTTAAAAATCCTCATTATCTGTGCCGACCCTGCATAATGGGATAAAGGTTTTTTTGTTGTTGTTGTATACTCATTATATGTATGTTCATTTGTAATTCTTTTTTTATGCAATTGAGGATTTCTAAGCCTAGTAGGATAGCACAAGGTATGCAAATAATCATTTCTTTTCAATATAACTTAAACAAACACAAACTGATAGAGACTTAATAGAAATATATATGGGAAAATGATTAGGAAATCAAACAAAACAAACTAAACATTAAATATAAAACCCTCATAACAACCGTATTTGGTCATCTCACATGCAAATATCAAAAATAAGGAATGGTTGCCATAGCAAAGTCTAATTAAAACAAAAGAAAACTGACAAAAAATATTATTATTAGTTTAAAAATAAATTTCAGAAATCAAATATAAAATTTTGATAAGGAAGTTGAGCCTAAGTGAACTGTCCCTAGTCATACTAATATGGAATCAAATAAACTTTTCAATAGTTATAATAGTGGTGATGACAATTTAATCAACAAAACAAAATAACAATCACAATTTTCCACCAAGCAATTATCACAAAAATGAAATGCGAAAAAGTAAAATTTAGAAAATAGGAAATCATAACAAACACAACAGAGATTTATAGTGGTTCGATTAAACCTTAACCTACGTCCACTCTCTGGAGTCCTCTCTGACTATTACACTAAATATTTAGTGACTCTCCTTTAGCCCCCACAGTTAGGAGGAGAAGCTCTTATGAAATCTCTTCCACCAACCCGGTGCGACAAAGGACCGTAATCATTTTCACCCTCCTAGTGAGGTAGAGAACTTGAAATTCTTTTTCACTCTCTTAATGATGGTAGAGAACATGGAATCCTTTTTCACCCTTCTGGTAATGGCAGAGAACCTGGAATTTCTTTAAACTCGCCCGATGCTGCGGATTAGCCGAGTCATTTGACACCAAATAGATCTTCCCAAAGCTTCCTTCAAGACAAGCATTGACACGTGGAGGAACTCAGGTGCAAGTTCGTTAGAGCAATCATGTGGAACTCCCTCTCACAATCCCTTGTAACCCACAAAGATCTTCTCTTTTTCGATAAGCTGATGTTTTGGTTTTGGTCTCACGGTTTGGTGCAAGTTTGTCAGAGCAACCATGTGGAACTCCCTCTCACAACCATGTGGACAAAGGACCAAGAGGCAACAAGCAGCCCAAAGAACAAACTCTTGGTTTGGGTCTTTGTTGTCTCATGGTTTGGTCCTTAGTTGCTTTGGTTTTGTTCTAAAAAATTGGGAATTAAGTGGTTCTAGCTCATTAAAGCTTGAGCTTATGTTTAGCTCATTATTTGGAGGAGTTATTGCACTTCTTTGCTCATAAATTCATAAAGGTATGTGGAGTGGAGCTTTTCTCTTCCTATTCTTGCGTCTCTTTGGTTTCTTCCTTGTGAGCAAATGTTGTGGGCTGGTTGCCTTTTCGTTTCTTCTCCCTAGCTGCTTTCCCGTGACCCCTCTGCCCTATTTCCTGTGTTGGCTCCTCCGGTCCCTCTCTGGCTGCTTTCCCGTGGCTTGCTGGCTGGGTTTCCCGTGGCTTTTCTTCCTGTTTTTTGTGTAGAATTTGGGGGCTGTTGTGGGTTCTTTTGGCCTTTTATTTTCCCAAACTTGATTTGTTTTGGTTGGAGGTGGAACGGTTGTTTGACTTCTTTCTTTTGCTTATAAATTGGAGATGTTTTGAAATGTTAAAAAGTTGTTATAATGTGATTTTTGGACAGCAAAACCTGAGGATTGGAAGAGCTTGAGAGCTTGTTCCATTTCTTCCTCTCCTTCTTGGAAGCTTGCGAGCTTGTCCTCTTATCTTTCGTCTCGGGCTTCTTATCTCATTCTTCTATCCGACCCTTCCGTTTGTATCTCTCTTCTCAAGCAAAGGAAATGCAGTTTTAGGTGTTTTATAGTTGTCAAGAGTTGTAAGGTAATTGTTTATGTTTGTGTTTGTAAGTGTCAAAGTTTGTAAGTCCTTTTATTTTATAAAAGTGAAGTTGTTTTTGGTTCAATTGCTGTTTTTTGTCTTTTTGGGTATATTTTATGTAATTTTCTATTTCCTAGGAAGGTTTAGTTTTTGCTTGCAAAAATTTGGGGCTTTTTCCAAATTTTTGCTTGCATCATTTATGAAACCCTAAAACTCAATTTTGTTGTCTCTGATCGTACAGTACGATCCCGGATCGTATAGTATGATTAGTTCAATATATACTTGTTAGCTGTACGAAGAGTAAGGAGTTGTACGACCAGTTCAAGTATTTGAGCTAATCGTCCAGTATGATATGATCAATTGTCCAGTACAATTAGTACAATCAAATTGGATTATCACCCGTACGATTAGTGATGATAAAATATCTTCCCATGCAAAGATCGGGTCATATAGTATGATTTATCCAATCGTACAATACGATCTTACTGGAAAAATTAATCCAAATTTGATCCTTAATTACAGAATTAATTTAGGCAACGTTAATTATATCGTATAGTACGAGACCTATCATACAATACGATTACATAATTTGTATTTCAAAATATTGCCTAAATTATGATTGGTGGCGAAGATCATGATTTTAACTGATCGTCCTGTACAATCTGTATCGTACAATACAATTATTCAAATTGTTTGAATTATCATAATTTGCCGTTTTAATGATTTTTCGATAAGCTGATCATACAGTATGATACATATCGTATAATATGATTAGTTCATAAAATTATTATTCTAATTTCTCACTACCTCACTTCCCTGACTGTGTGTGTGCACGATCACAAGGCTAGCATACACCCTTATAGGACCGGACTCAAGAAATCAGAAAATAAATAAATGAAAATTACAAACTCTTTCAGCATATCCTATTCTACCCAATCTTGAGCTCTTCATCTTCATTGAATGCTCCATGTACCTGAGATGTTAGTACACAAAAAAACAAATGTGTATTAGAAATACTATGAGACATAAAGATGCAATCAATAATGTTTGTTATAATCAAAAATATAAATTTGGGAGCTCGAGTTGCAACAAAATAGTGTGTTGTGGGGGTGATGTGCTATGATTTATTTCCCATACAAGTAATGTGGTATTTTTGGCACCCCACGCTTATCTATTCAATTCATTGTGTGCTATTGATATGTATATTATATAATGTTATGAAGAAATACTTTTTCTTTTTTATTTGTTGTAATGGGTAGGCCATTTCTTTATTTATTAACAAATAATATATTTTATGTTTTGTTGCTTTTAGCAGAAATATTAGTATCCAAGTATTTTAATTACATATTTTATATTAGTTATTTATAAAAGAGAATATTGTGGTCATAGTAGGTGATGTTACAACTATGTGGTGTCGCCATGCCATGTTGTGCCATGTACGCATCACCGTAATATTTCTTTGTGCGTCATAGGTAGTAGCGGTTTTTGGTGCTAGTTGGTGCACAATTTGTTTGCCAGAGGATGCTATTTTAATCCTTTCGGTTTTTCATTTGTACCCTTACAGCCAATGGAAATATATGTAGATGATGAAGCAAAACTGACCCTGCATGGTCTAGTTCAGGTATTAAAGGTTTCAGCCAGACTGACTTTAGCTTTGTATCAATATCAAACTTCTATCATTCATTGTGTTTTTATCTTCTTATGCAGCACTACATCAAACTGAGCGAGTTAGAGAAGAATCGCAAACTGAATGATCTTCTGGATGCTTTGGACTTCAACCAGGTTGTAATTTTTGTTAAAAGCGTAAACAGAGCAGCGGAGCTGAACAAGTTGCTAGTTGAGTGCAACTTCCCTTCAATCTGCATTCATTCTGGCATGTCACAGGAAGAAAGGTATGGAATTGACTTCTAAAGTATTATTGAATATTCATTATCTTTCTGTTTAGTCATGGATGTTCTCACTAGACATTTGCTAGAGGTTCTACACTGGTGTATGCTTTTTGCTGATGATATTCTTCTTGTTGATAATATTACAGAGGGAGTTGAAAGTAAACTTGTATGGAGGTTAACCTTAAAGTCTAAAGGCTTTCTTTTGAGTAGATCTAAAACTGAAAATATGGAGTGTAATTTTAGTAATAATAGTTTGTGTGAGGAGATTGTGACTTTGGGTGATCCAGTCATTAATAAGAGTACATGTTTTAGATATCTTGGGTCTATTGTTTAGAGTGATGGTGAAATAGATGGGGATATTATTAGTATAATTCAAGTTGGATGGTTGAAGTGGAGGAATGCATTAGGTTTGTTGTGTGATAGTAAAGCCCCCCTCAAACTTGAGGGAAAATTCTATAAGATGGTGGCTAGACCTACAATGCTTTATGGTTCAGAATGTTGGCCATTAAAAGAGTAGCATAATATTAAGTTAAGTGTTGCAGAGATGAGGATTCTTAGGTAGATGAGTGGATTTACTCTTAGAGACAAGATACGGAATAAGCATATGCATGAAAAGGTTGGAGTAGTGGAAGATAATATTAAAGAGAGTCGCCTTAGATGGTTTGGTCATATGAAATGGTACCCTTCCAATGACCCGGTTTGGAAAGTAGATGTATTAGATTTGACTTATGTTGAGAAAAGTAGAGGTAGACTTAAATACTTGGTTAGAAAATATTAGAAATGAACATTCTTTATTAGATTTAAATGTGAATTTAACTTTTAACAGGGCACAATGGAGAGAAAGGATTCATTTTGCCGACCACAGTGGGATAAAGGCTTGATGTTTTGTTGATAGAGTAGAAAAGGGTTTAGGAGTGGTTAGTGAAGACTTATATTTTTTTAATGCTAGTTTATCGTGACATGCCAGTTTACCATTTAGTCTTCAGTCACTTGATGTTAACATTTTCAGTTTGTACCAACTACAATGTGGCCGCTTTTACCAGAGTAACATATCTCTAAAGATTCCCATTTGAATAATATAAAATAATATATCATATTAATGTTTGCATTATAAATTTGAGATTACCAATTGATCCTCCTGTCCAACTGGAATCATATGCAAACATTTTAACTCAGTATCCAATCGGTGAGGTTTCCTCAATGATCCCAAAGCTGTGCCATCCTATGTAATGCCTGCTGTGGGAGATGGTTAATCTCTTTTTCTGCTGTCGCCTCCCTGTGCTCCTTTGTGTAACTTCTTCAGAAATTGTTTTGCGCATAATTATTACCCATCCAGTTTCTTGTACCTGTCCAAACCCCAGGATACAGCTTTAGGATTGTTTCTATTTTTATTTATATGTTTCATATTGATATTCTTTGCAAGTATAGATGGTATATATTTATGAGTTCTGCAGGTTGACAAGGTACAAGGGCTTCAAGGAAGGACATAAAAGGATTCTTGTAGCAACCGATCTTGTTGGCAGGGGAATTGATATTGAGCGTGTTAACATTGTGATTAATTATGACATGCCAGATTCTGCTGACACTTACTTGCACAGGGTATGATTTTATACCAAGTTGCAAGCTATTCATCCCATGACAGGATGGCTGCCTAACAAAGCATTGTACAGGTTGGTAGAGCTGGTAGATTTGGCACCAAGGGGTTGGCTATAACCTTTGTCTCATCAGCATCTGATTCAGATGTTCTTAATCAGGTCAGAGATTGTCCCTTGTGGTGTAATCATTGAATTTGTACACGGCAATATGCAACCTTACAACATTTTACCATTTTGCAGGTCCAAGCTAGATTTGAGGTAGACATTAAGGAGTTGCCTGAACAAATTGATACGTCCACATACAGTAAGTTGCCTTTTCTAAACTTTTTTTGAATAAAATATTTTTACCTGTATAATTTTGTAGAAATGAGATGATTCGAGAGTGGAGTACAAGTTCCGTTAATTTTGTTTCTTATTGAACAATGCCAAAGTTTAAAATCTAGTTCAAGTTTATTTATTTTTTATTGAGTTCTAGTTGCATAATTAGTTTTAATTGAGCTCAACTAATTATGTCTAGGATGCTACTGAATTAAACAATTAACCGTATTACTGAATTGAACTATATTGATAATATTTTTATAAAATAGACATGATTTATTCAATCAGTATCATTTGAAATGGTTTGTGAAGTTCAAATGTTAATAAAGCAAGAAAATTAGATACTAATCTATCCCCTAGCTATTTGCTTCTTATTTTCATAGTACTTGTACTTCTAAGAGTATATATAATATTTGAAGTGGACATGATAAAAGAAATTTTAAACAAGATAGCTTAAGTTATCAGATAATAAGCACCTATGCCAGCATTAAATAGTTATTTTATTGAGTTTGTACTTATTTATTGTTAAAAAATAAACATGCATGTTCAATTGTTCATAGAGTAAGTGCCCAATATTCAATTTGTTCATTTATGTGATTTAAATTTATTTAATTTTTAAATAAAAGAACGTAAAATAAAATTCATGAAGTTACAAATATGGAACTGTTTGTTGACTTCGCCAGTTTTTTTAAAGATGTACCATCAGTCACTCATTTTTTTTAGCTATATACACTGGTTTGACTTTTAAGTTCATTTGTCCTATTTAATCTTTGTCATGGTACTTTTTGGGAAGGTGAGAGTTCAAGGTTTTTTTTTTTAACAATAAAATTGCACAGGCAATAGGGGAAGAGGCATGAACTTTAAACATAGTGGGCTATTTTAGATTTGGAGTGCCCAGTAGGGTTGTAAATGAGTAGAGTCGAGTTGAGTATCTGCCTAATCAAGCTAAAGCTTGTTTAACTTTTGTTGAGCTTGAGCTCAAGCTCGGCTTGTTTGAAAATTATTAGGGTCGAGGTAAGCTCGATTGCTTAAGCTTAAGCTCATTTACTCGAGCTTGTTAAGAAAGATCGAGCTTGACTCGTGAAATAATAAAAAATATTTATTTGAGCTTGTTAAGAAAGCTCGAACTTAACTCGTGAAATAATTAAAAATATTTAGTATGTATTTTATTATATTATTTTAAAATTAGATTTTTGATGTATTTTAGTTTAAATGAGCGGCTCGTCACTTAAGAGCTTTAGCCTAGTTGACCTTGAGCTCGTATGATATACGTGCTTGAACTCGTAGCTCGATAAGCTCGACTCATTAACGAGTTGAGTTCGAACATGAGCCGGCTCGGCTCATTTACATCTCTAGTGCCAAGCTACTACGACCAGCTCCCCCCATTGGTAGCTTGAATGAAATTCTTAGGTGTTGCGTTAGGTTGTTTTTATTAGCTAGTCTTCAGCATGTGTTGTGTCCTCTCAGAACTGAGCCAAGAACTCTTTTGAAATGATCTTCATTGACTAACTTCTCCAATAAAGAGCCTTGAAGATTGTAATCTTCAGTATAGTAGCCTTGATCTTTGTGATATATTTTAAACTTTTGGACATTAGGCTTTTTATACGGCATTCCGGTAATTGAAAAATTAGTCTCTATATTTGTTTATGCTATTAATTCCTTCACAACTTTAAAAATTCAAGTACAGTCTATCGCCTTCCACATTGATTAACTTAAAATTTTTGGTGTGAAACACTATTTTGACGGCATAACGTTTTTCTTTCCCATTGTTTGCAGTGCCGTCTTAAGAAGGTCGCAGTGGTTGAGTTTTGACATTTCCATCATCTTGATGCGCAAGGTGAAAATGAAATCATCAATGGCGCATAGAGGGTACGATGTATCTTGGAGCTATATTAAAAAAGACTGAGCTAGGTTTTTAGGCTTGTGGAACTCCCGTTTAAGTATTTCTTCTTATGTTCTTAATTTTATCTTTAGCTGATATGTCCCTGTATCATTTTAAATTAAATTATCAAAGATTGTATTTTAAATTTACTTTTTTTTAGAACACCCAAGGTTTATGCTCTTGCTTGACTGCGAATGTTAGCTATCTGCATGCTGTAATATTTACCTTAAAAGCTCGTTTTGCCTTTCTACTTTTCATAGTAGTAAAAAATGTATTGTGATCTTCAAATTGTTTTTGTCCGTGTTAAAAGTCAGATTTGGAGATAAGGATTAATCCGTGAAAACTATTGCGTGAATAACTGGATCATGAAATTTGTACTGGAGAAAATGTAGATTCATGCAGGTCAAAACTCATTTACCAAATTGGTATATAAGTGAAAGCATATAAATCCAAGAATATAAAACATAGAACTTAAATTAGAGGTTCATAGGTCTGTCTGTATCAGATCACTCTCAAATTAACAATAAATTGTAACTCTGATTCCAGTGTTTGTCGAGTTCTGCTCAGACTTAGAATTGATCATGTCAAGTTCTAGGAGTTAAATACGAACTGGAGGGGATTGTAAAGAGTTTCTGTATCACGCGTGGCTTTAGATAATTAAGAAAGCAACTCAATCTCAAATATCCTGTACAGACCAAACAATGATTTCAAATAAATCCAAAAACAGAAATATTTCACTATTTGAAAATCCGAGAAAGTAGATATGCAGTCAAGTTCTATCTTTTGTCTAATTCTCTGTATGCAAGACATGGCAGTAAAAACAAATTAAAATCTATTATATATATATATATTATAAATTTCATTATTTCTTTGAGTTCTCAATGTTAGAAAACACTTGATGGATTTCAATTAAGTATGCCAAAGACCGTTAGAAGGATAAACAAAAGATAGGAGGATAAGGAGCAAAGAGGTGGAGGAAGATGAAGCAGAGGATTTATCTCAACAGTAACTTGCAAGAGTAATTATTAAGACATCATAATCCAACGGCGAAGTTGACAATACAACAATAGTGATCCGCTTGGAGGAAGAGCCACCGAAGAAGGTAGATAAAAAAGGCCTCTTTCCCCGTCTTGACCACTATATAAAATATTTAGAGATAAAGAAGACCATTTTATCTTTATGTACCCTTTCACCTAAGAGGGATTGTATAGTTCAAGCTAATTGAGCTTTGCTTTAACTTGATAAATCTATTGCCCAAGGAGAATTATGGACATCACTCACCTACCTTCATCAATGAGCTCACTTAGAGAAGTGTCTCGATCCCATGAAGAAGTGTTCATGAGGAAGTGTTCTGTTTAATTGCAACTAAACTACTACTGTTTACTATAGATGCGCGATTTATACCAGTGAAAGTAAAATGGCTGTTTTTGAGTTTTTGCCATTTATATGAAACTTGCAAGAAAATTGGATACTAATGAAAATAAAATATTTTGCAATAATGAATGTAAAACAATATAGTTTTTCCTAATGAGACTCTTAATTTAGATGTGGATCAGAGTATTTGCATTCATAGATTTCTGTTGAGTTTGTAGGGGTAAAAAGGGAGGTTTACAGCCTTTCTACAATTATAATATCTCCATAGAACCTATAAGGTTTAACATCCCATGCATAGGTATGCCAACATTCTATTTTAATACTCATATTTGTTCCAATATTCCTCCACAACAACAACAACAACAACATCAAGCCTTTAACACTACCGTTGCCAGGTCCCAAGTCCTAGATGAGAAAAGTGGAGGGTTGCGTTAGGTAGTCGACTGCCATCGTAAAACTTGTCGAATAATAATAACATGAATTCTTTAAGAAATTTTATTCCAATATTCCTCCGTTGAGATAATATATCACACTAGATATTAATTAAACACATGACCATTATATGCATTAAATTAAGAATGAAAGATATTTAAAGCATCTCTAATACAATTCAAGGTAAGAATCTACATTAGTATTTACTATATGTTATATATATATATAATCTTGGCTCTAAAGATTACATATACTACTCAGGGTCTATATAATCATATCATAGCTACTCCGTCTTGAGTAAAACAGAATAACTAAAATAATAAGAACCTAAACCAAAAGGATCCAGATCAATCTTACATATTGATCCTTTGCCATGACATGAAATCAGTTAAACCACATATAATGAGCTAAAAATCCTTGCTAATTATCCAATCTTATGATTGACTCCCAGTACGGTAAAGAAAATAAAATGCATGCCGCCAATCAATTCATAATACTAATAGTCATATGCTCAAGAATCGATGCATAAATAGTAAAACACACATGCAGTAATAATAAAGTCTATAAATATTTAAATAATATGGTATGGAAGCCAATATGATATTACGATGGGGAATCCTATAAACCATTATGGGTGTTGAATTGATAAAGAAATTATCACATTATTACTATCAATTAGTAAATAAATCGTATAGAGTGATATAACCAAAATATCAGTAAAGATTGTCAAAATCATATTAATATAGTAAAATCCTATAATGATGTACATATGTTATATAATTATTCTATATCAGTATTAAATCAGTATCTTAATTACATACTGAATATATCACATGATCAGTATCAATATAGTGAATTAATAGTAGTATTGAATATTATTAACGTCCGCACCAATAATAGTATCAGTACATTATCATTAGTAAAATAAGTGGAAATAATAGTAAAGTATTGTAGTAATAATAAATTCATTCAATGATAGTAAATTAATAAATAATAATTGTAAAATAGTAAAATCATATAATAATATTAATAATGAATCAATACCATACATTTTGGTAGTCACACCAATTAAGTAAGAAGTCATAGTTTAAACGGTACTTTAATAGTAATAGTAATTAGTATAAGTATCTTGTTGACTTACTAAACAGATTCATCACATTTTGCCCATTAACATAGTAACCAGCTCCTTTTAACTCCCAATCAGTATCATATGAATTAGTAGAAGATAACACCAAATCATAGTATTTAAAGAAAATCTCATCAGCCCATCATCTTGTATAGGTCAATTAGTCTCCAACAAATTTCAGTGAAACCAGCTTTTACTTGTACTTATACATATTATTATCAGAGCACTATAATAATAATAGCGACCAACTATTACTCAACCACATATCCATATTCATTTTTAATGCTTATATTAATAGTATGCTTACTATAAAAATATTAGTTATTCATTCAATAGAAAATAATATAAAATACATTAACTTCTATTTTACCTAGTGAAATTTAATAAATGTGGCAGTCAAAATATTCAAGATAATTAGTACGATAAAATACAAAATGTTATATGTTAAAAGTTCAATAAATTCAAGGAAAATATAATAAAATTAATTATGGAGAGAATCAAATAGTTAAAATTAAATTATTAAAAAAAGAGATAGAATTAAATTCATCTATAATGATATGATAAAATTTTATAAAAGTGGCAAAGAGATTTGACTACTAAAAATTGGCTTTCTCCCTTGCTCTCTGCTACATTTCAATTCAAACATGAATTCATATTTTTTTTCAATTTCAATTATTTTCAAAAATTTGGATTGTTACACTTAGACTTTACTCTAAGGGAGAACTAGAGGAAGACACTCAAAAGTATAAAACTGCATTTAGAATGACTAAACTCCCTAAATAAAAGAACTGAAAAATTATCATAACACTCGACATGGTGGCACCGCGATGGTATAAAATGAACTAGCACCTTTATACTGCAATGCTTTCTCTATTGGGTGTTGGGCTGACCTAGCATAGTTAATGGTCAAATGAGCGCATCTTTTGGTTGAGTTGGCATGAATCCTCATTTTTATTATTGCTCCATCACGACTTATAAAATTTAAGTGTTGCAGTACTTGAAAGTATAATCCAGTGTTGCGATATTATGAAGATCTCCTCTCTAACGCTTAAATTCCTAAGACTCAAATGTTGTGGTGCTGATATTTTGTATAGCGGCACTAATATGCGCTATGACATTGACCACGGCTCTGTCACAATCCTGTTCTTCCTAAATTCTAGAGTGACCGATGCTTCAATGTCTTAATCTTGCACTAGGCATTATAGATGATAATAATGTGGAGCATATACTTTTGGTGATGCGGGGCTCATTTAGCACTTGTGAATTTTTACCTTCTCTTGAATAATTCATATACAAACATATAGCTAATATAATAAAATTTCACTAAATTTTAGCATAATAAATAGTGCACAAATTACACTTAATAAGTTTCCCTAGCTTAAACTCTTTCTTTTCCTCAAGTAATGGTGAAATAAAATATTGATTAACATAATAACCAAAGTAAAAAATTGATAATTTAAAAGTACTAAAATATGAGATAATATATCACACTTTAAAAGTAATTTAGAATGAATAAAGTTATAATTATAATTTGAAAGGTCATAATAATTATCCCAATTAGTCACCCTTAATATTGCTTGTATTGAACCTATACACTATGAGTGTGTGAAAAATTTACTTCTGATTTAAAAAATGAATACTATATTCCTTACGGGTTAGTTGAATTTGTAGTTAAATTTGAAGTTCACTTTTCTTTTCCTATTTAATTTAAATATTAGGATGCCTTGGGACGTTAGCTTCAATAAATACAAATTTTTTAATGCACACATCTTTTTTCCTTTTCATATTTTCTTTTATGATTTTTCACTTTTTTGATATTTATATAGTACATATTTAATAATTTTAAATATCAATTTCACTTTCATCCTCTTGTAATCCTAATGAATTTAATATAAAGATTTAATAAGGTCGCTGATTTTATATTTAAATTTATTATAATCTTCCTAATTTAAGCTATCCATTTTTTTTCTAAACTCAATTACTTATTCTTCAATTTAGTAGTCAAGTATTAGTTTTTAAATTCAATACCTGCAAATAAGTTAAGTGATATACATTAGTTAATTATTAAGCTTTTTAAATTATGAATTAAAATGCTTTATTTATTCAAATTATCTATTGTAAATCTGATCCAAGCACCATAATTCTGTTACTACTTTCTCCTATTTCTATGATATTTTATTTTATTTTGTGTGTATTAACATTTTAGGAAATCAGTCAATCATTCACTTGCAATTCTGATCAGCTCAAAACTGGGCAGACTAGGTTTATAGTTAGTTTTCATTTTATTATGTATTTTTTCATTTCTTGAGTCGTATCTTAT